CCATGAGGCATTTTGACCGTATATGGCTCAGTTGGACTCACTTTAGGTTGTATACCTCTGGATTCCTTAGATCCTTGGAAATGCTTGTGATGTTAGAATTACATTTACTTTGTTAGTTTGGAACTGCTGTTCAGTGTCTTCTTAGGGCACCATGTACATAGGTACTTGATAGATGCATATTTGTAATAAAGTTTAACTTAAGTATTAATTATCCTTTATATCTGAACACACAAATTTGGAATAAACATTACATTGTAGTCCAACGAATGAGCAAAACACTGACATGATGATGTTCCTGATGTTCTTGGAGCCAGACTGAATCACAATACAGATTTCCGTGCCTCGTTGTGGTGCCTAGGCTATGTCTTGAGATAGTTGCCCTGCTTACAGGCAGCATAAACATCACGGCACTGGCTCTGGTATCAGGGAGCTGTAACCTATAGTTAGCGAGTAGCTACTTCATACTCAAGTACACAAAACAAGAAAATGCCTAAAGCTAAACAATCAAAAGGTTGGCTGTATTTCACGTGAAAGGATTCCGACACAGAGATGTGCAGCAAATGTCTGAGCATTAGCTAAGAGCAGAACCTGAGAGCTGGGACTTCACGGCTGCTGTCGTTTTGAGCTAAATATTAAAAGAAAAAAAGGTTTGGCAACGTTAAGCACCGATATATGAGAAAACCCAAATTATACCCAACCCTTCACACAACACTATCAGGAGTCTTTGTTATTTTACATGTATTATAATTAATCAAAAATAGTACAGTGGTTGTTTCATACCTTGATTACTTATGTTAATAATTGAACTCATGTCATTAGTTTTACCTCCCCCAATCTACCGCTCCCCTTTCCGTCCCTCTGCCACTGATCCATCAATCTCTCAGTGCATATGATAGATCGGCTCGTGTTGTCAGTGACACTCGAACATGATTGGCCACTTCTGATGACATCTTCCTTTACACATTTACAGATATTTATTGGTTTGGTTTGTAGGTTTTCTGAAGTGGGCAGGCCTGAAGTTGTATAACGGATGGGAATAAATGTGGGTTTTTCCCCGCTATACATTTTAACTACATACCGTAAATCGAACCTGGACATTGGTCTGCAACAGCCATCCATTATTGATGGCAGCATTCAGGCAAGACAGTTATGAGCCGGGCTGTTAGGATCAGTAATTCACTCTGTCAGGAGATCAGGAAACAGAAGTGGGGGTAAAGAGGATGAGGAGCGATAGAGGTTTAGGAACAAGAAGGAAAAGGAAACGGAGAAGGGAAGCAGAAAAGAATGGAGAGGTGAGAGGAGAGGGCCACAGAAGCAGTGATGCTGTAGAGGGGAAAGGAAACAGGCAGCATTTACGAGACAAAGCTTTTATTCATGGGAAATATTTCTCTCCAGCGACCCCCCCCCCATCCCCCCCACTCCACCCACCCTTTTCTCTGGCTATCATGTTTCTTGTGCCAATCAATAATTTATTGCTGTCGCTCCAGAGCAATGAACCCCCCCAGCTCTGAATGACAGATGAGGGTGAGAATGGCTGTTGGGGCAATGTGAAAAGTGGGAGGGGTGGCGGGGTGAAAAAGCAGAGTGGTGGAGAACCATAGTTCAAGAAATGTGCAATGAGAAGAGGAGGCAGTGCCGAGAGTGAGAAACGAGAGTGACAGAGCAATGAGTGAACATGGTGCCGGATAAATAACCCGGAGTGGGAGAAAATTTCCCACAGATAATGAAATTATGCAGTGAAAATGTCTTCCAATTTCCATACTCTCAGAGAACTAATTACAGAAGTACGAGAGAAAATGTCAGCTTTGTGACATCAAAGTGGAGACGCTGCCTCCTCATTTTTCCCCTATTCGTTTCTTGTTGTTTTACCTAAGCTGCTTTTAGCTCCGAGCCCACGGCACGCTGCCGTTCTCCAAGAGGACCGCGACTACACACAGTCAGTGAAGAGGAGTGGAAGACAGTGTTTGAGTGTGCACAGGCCTATGAATGCACACTTTATGCAGCTTTTTTGTGGTTTGTGTTTGTTTTTGTAGGTGTGACAGTGTGTGACTGCAGCCATGGCACATTAGGGGCTGAACCTTGAAGCTGTGTTCAAAAAAGTTTGTGTGTGTTAGAATTTTCCCTTGACTCACAACTCTCCAGGTGAAGCAGTTGCATACACACACACACACATGCACGCACGCACACACACACACACACGCACACACACAGGGAGAAGGACAGCTTTAATGAAACTGGATGATGATGGAGTGGAGGGAAATTACATGTTAGGGGAAACTGTGTGTGTGTGTGTGTGTGTGTGTGTGTGTGTGTGTGCGCGCGCGCGCGTGTGTGTGTGAACTTTATATACTGTATATGTGCATCTGATGCGTGTCTATGGGAGAAGGAGAAAGAAAGGCCTCTTCCTCTCCCTCCCACCTGCTCTTGTAAGCCTCTGTGTTTCGGTGACCTTGGCAACCCGATGACAAAACATTCTTGGTGTCCCTTTTGATTAAGGCCTTGTGTGGGCGTGTGGTTTGGTCCGAGTGAAAAGACAGTGGAGGAGCAGGAGCAGGATGGAGGAGAATGAAGTTGCTGATGCCCTCAGTGTTGGCTGCTCTGTCTGTTCAGTTTATTTCCTCCGGTCTGTCTCTGTCTGTGTGTCTGTCCTGGTTATTTCATTCTCTACTGTCCTAGCTTGAATTGCACATCATTTGTTAAACATTTAATGTTTGATTAAAATATAGGAAGGACCTTTAAGTTCACACATTACAGATACTTATGATAAATTCTGCAACATATTTATAAAGCTTGTCACAAGAATAGAAAATAGTTTGTGTATAATAAAAACTGTATTTGTTGAGTGTTTCAATTTGAATTGAGTCTCAGTCAAGACGACAGTTTTAGCCACAACATATAAAATACTACAGCAATAATATTACAACAACCTCGAAACAGTTTCCAACAAACCTTTGACAACAGACATGAGGCAGATTGAAGCCTGGAATGCTCAATCTGCAAGGCACCATTATATCATCGATAATGAGGCAACCAGGCGTTGTGACCCCTTCTCATATCTCCCCTTCTCTTCATCAATGTGTCTTTGTCCACACATGGACGCCACAATCAGTTGCTGATTAAAGGTGCATTTTATGGCTCAGTGGAAGAAAATTGTTCCCTGTCCAGGTCACTGGCTTGTGGCACGGCAACTATTAGTGATCAGATGAGAACAGTAAATGTCTAGTGCACACTCGGTTCAGGGGAGAGCGTTAGACAATGCTGCTCACTGGTGTGAATCACAGAACAAGAATGAATGATTGAAAAAATGCAATGGAAAACTGCATATTTTCCCTGAACTCTCTTTGTACCCTGTTAGTCGTCAAAGTGAGTCGATAAAACAAATACTGACTGAGCTGAGAACAGGGAAAAAACATTCTCCACCGAACAACAGCTTTAAACATTTCCTCTTTTTCTGCTTCCCACAGTGAGAGACGACGACGACTTCTTGAGTCTGAGCGAGCTCCCAGAGACCTTCCCCTCCGACCCGCCAGAGCCCTTACCTCACTTCCTGTTTGAACCTGAGGAAGGCTACATTGTCAAGAACAAGCCCGTCAATCTTTACTGCAAAGCAACACCCGCCACACAGATTTACTTCAAGTGCAACAGTGAGTGGGTCCATCAGAAGGACCACACTGTGGAGGAGAGGGTGGACGAAAACTCAGGTGAGTGAAGTCTGGAGCGTACACAAGTGCATTTGCACAAATACACACACGCATGCACACATTTATTTGATGTGCAATAGAAAGTTGGCAAATCAGATCATAATGTTGAAAATGTTTTCTCTTTTTGTTTAACTCCAGACATTTTTGACAATGGTGTAAAAAAAACAAAAGTCTTCTAACATCAAGTGCAGTAGCAAGAGTTCCCACAGTTTTTTTTTTTATTTCAACATCTCAGATGAAAAATAATTTACTCTTTGTGTGAGTGCAGTGAATGTTGATGCTTTGCTGCAACATCCAAGATGGATACAAACAACTAGAATGGTATCTAGAAGACTCCATAGCTCCCCCAAGGCCCAACAGTCCCCTCATGAAACCACATTTAAATTCACAAGATCTGGATTTTTATTTGGATCTGCACCAAATAGCAAACACTCGTAAATATTAGTCCCCTAAATATGCCTGATTTTTGTTTCATCAAGATCCAAGAATTGTTCTCTATGAAATCAAAAATGTTGAATTGTAAAGAGAGTGGAAAAATGAATCTGCACTTAAATGAAATGGCTTCTTCCCTGACCAATCCACATCCTGCCATCAAGTTCCGCAGTCATCGGCCCTGTGGTTTTTTAAATGATGGAGAACCAATGTTTTTTTTGTCATAAATATGTCCCGGTGAGCAAACTATTCAAAATATACTTTAACATGTCTGAGTGCACAGCTATTCAATCAAGTCCTTTTTTGACCTCTTTCCATCGTATGTTTGAAAAACCTGACGATGATATTTCGCTGCCTTCGTTCTCCACTGATTGTCTGACTGGTGCACCGTAAGCAAACAGGTTAAATCTATTATTCAGATGTTGTGTTATTTGTGCAGAGAGCTAGGTCACATGTCAGACGTGTGTGTACACAGCTGTCCCGCTGGCAGCGCTGTGCTGAAACATTCACAGGCAGTTTAATAGGATCCACAGTGATGTACTGGAGCGCAGCCAAAGTTCCACACTTGTCACTTGACAGCACATGGTATTACTCTGCTGGAGAGGTAATGATGAATCATGCTGCTGCTTTGGCAGGATGACAAAGATGTACACAGCCTGGTTTTCTTAGACTTAAGGTGGACATGAGCTCGGCTTATGGGTCCCCACCTGCTTGTTAATGAGCCGGGGTCCCCAAAGTGAGCGATTAAAACACAGGCTGAAAACAGTTTGAAAACTCCTGATATATGGTACCTGCCGAGTGCAATACACAGCAGGGTTCAGTGGCACAAATCAGTGTGTTGGCGGAGGAACTTTCTGTTATTGAGGCAGGTGAACAAAACACACTGTACAGGCTTAATGTGCTCAGCCTTTGATGTCTGACAGTGTTTGTACTGAACACAATATTGAGGAAGCAGAAGTTTTGATTCCATCTCAACTCAAGTTGACACATTGCCTTGCCCACTGAAGATTTTCCCTTGTAATACAAAGCAGGCCCCGGAGCCAAAGACTGTGTGTGTTAGTGCGTGCATCAGTGTGTTTGTTTGGTGTTCTGGTTGCTTTGTGGGTCGACTACAGTGTTAGACCCAAGACAGGTACAGAACCGGCTGAGCCGTGATGTTTCCCCTGATTCAGCTGTCACACATAAACAGAAGAGGAAGAGGAGTACGGATGCAACAAAGTAGTAAATGTGAGAAAAGGGAGGAAACAGGTACACGTATTGAAACATGTATATAGGTGTAGACAAAAGTTTAAATAGAGGAGAAAGTAATGTTATAACATTCATTGAAGGGCGGGTTTTATATCAGATGACAGTACACCACTTCTAACCTTAGATCATTGTCTTCATATAACTTAATCTCTTTATAACTTATTTTTGATTTCTTCTACATGTTTCTTTTGAGCAGTTTTATCCCTTTATTCCTTTTCTGGATATTGTATCATTTCTCTCTCTGTTGTCTTTAGCATTTAGCTCATTTCTTCCTGTGACTTTGTTTTCATTTATCTTTTTTTCAGTCATCACATATCTTGACTGAAGTCTTTTGGCTCCTAAAAGACTTCTTGTGCGCCCTGGGGAGGCTTTGCACTTCACAAAGAAACTAGAATGACTCAGATTTGGATTTTTATTTGGATCTGCATCAAATGGCTCATAAATATCACTCCGCTTATCATGCCTGACCTTTTTTTCATCAAGATCGAAATGAAAATATTGAAAAACATGTTAAACTCACCCTGTTAGAGACGGTGAGAAAAAAATAAATCTGGGATCCTGACCCAGGAAACTTTCATGTTATCTGCACTGTAGTTTTTCCAAAATCCTGCTGACTAACAAACGCAGGAAAAAACATAAAAAAGTGTTGTCTTGGTCATTTATCTTCAGAGGCACAAACAATAGCTCACAACTGCACATTATATTCACCAGTATAATTATCACCATCTCATCTTCCTCTTAGTCATGTAATCATGTCTGTTCATTCATGTGTCAGTCTCTCTCTCTCTTCTCCAACTATTTATACACATCTTTCTTTTACAGCCTTCTTCTTTTCAAAAGGCTTTTATATGACAGTGGCTTGATTAATGTGAACGTAATCCGGTCCTCAGTCTAAGGTTTCTGAGGTTATAGGCTGATGTATGAGTATCTACAATAAGCATCCATTGTCTTCCCTCTCTCTCTCTTCTCACTCCCCTCCATCTTTCCTCCTACCTCTATGTTCATTACTGACATAATGTGCAGCTGCTAGTCATTTATTACTCTCCCATCAGCCATTCATTTGCGAGCAGCTGGATTCCAGACAGTGGGTTATTGAGAGGAAATTCTGTTCAATTATGATACGTGGATTTAGGCTCTTTCGCTGCATGCGTCGGACACCATGAGGTCTTTCATTCTCAAACCACCCATTCAGCCTTATAACAATCTGTGTGTTTTAAACATCCAGTCCAATTTATTTTGACGTTAGTTTCTGTGGATTTCTAACAGCCATTCGCCAATTATACCCCTTTTTCTACTAAACCTAAATTCATAACTTCACTTTAGGGTTATCTCTCTGAGTGTTCCTGCTAGTTGAAATAACCCTCAGCTCCAGTTACAACATGGATTTGGTTTTTAATATTTGAAATGCTCGAGATACGCTTCAATTTATTCCTAATTTATCTTGTACAAAGCCATCATAATGTCACTTTAATAAAAAATGGATTGACTTGCCTATGTACTGCTCCAGGACACTTCATCTTTCAAGCACATCATAATCCACACAGATATTGGCATACAAGTAGAATGAATAAATCAGTAAACTGGGTACATTATGCAATATCAAAATTGCTGCAGTTATGATGTGTGTTTTTCTCCGTCTGTTAAAAAAACTAAGAAATCAAACTAGTATCAAAATATAATAAGATTTCCATGTTGGGTTGCAGCAGTGTCCTGGTTTCACATATATTACAATGTTAAAACCAATGGCAATCATGAATATTTGCTTTTTTTCGGTATTGGACAAAAATGCAACTGCGTCTATTCTGAGGAAGGAAGGAAGACTGATTATCTCCAGCCCTCCAAAAACAAAGTGAGCAGCAGTGTGGGATCACTCTGCATATCCCTGTACTAAACGTGGGGTTGTCCTGGAGGACGAATATCCAGTCTGACAGTGGCTTCCAAAAAATTGGAAACTTCAAAAGCGTCCCTCGGTAAAGATCAACACACGTGTCCCCGTTTTAAACTTTAATCCCTGATGAGAACACGTGTAAACATTTAAATGTCAACTTTAGAATATCAAATGAATCCCCACGTCACAGCTACATCTCTGTTGTCGGTCTGTTTGTTCACGAACTTCTGAGTGACAACACTGACCTCAATATCACCCCTTAAAGAAACACACAAACTCTCCCAGCAGTGTGAGTTCAAGACTTCTACAGTAAATCAGTACCATTTTTAATGATCTTTTATAATCGCCCTTGTTAACATTTCTCAGTATTTTCAGAAATTTTACAAAACAATGAATCAATTTAAATAATGGAGGAAATAATCAACTGATCAACAATTGATCTATAACGAAAATGATCATTATCTGCAGAAGAGCTTCACCTCCACTAACAACGATAGAAAAATCCTGCTTTAACATTTATGTGTAATAATAATCGAATGATGTATAATAGTTCAAAATCACTGGGGTCATTTCCTGCCTTTAGTACTTTAGTACTTAAGTAAATGATGTGAATAATTCCTCCTCTCACATGTTCAAATGAAAACACTGTTCTCGTTCCATTAAGGGTCTGTAAACTTGACAGCTTGATACTGTGAAACCATAATATTTTCTGAAACATTATCAAACTGTGAAACTCCGTCAGGTCACCTTGGAACAAAAGATGTTGAGTTTATAAATATTGAAGACTACATTTGCATTATGCAACTTGTGAATCACAGAAAAAGCAACTGTAGGGGCTGTGCATGTGTGTGTGTGTGTGTGTGTGTGGGTGTGTGTGTATGTGTGTGTGTGTGTGTGCGTGGGTGTGTGTGTGTGTGTGTGTGTCTGTGTGTGTGTGTGTGCACTGTTTATCTGTGTGAAAACCTAAACTCTGTAAGCTGTTTTCTCATCTTTCTTTCCTGCTGTTTCACAGAAACAGCTAGCAGCTATGGGCCCCATGCTGTTTTTATTATCTCTGTCTTCTCACTCACTCTCTCCCTCTATGTCCAATTCTTTCTCTCTCTTCCCCTCCCTTTTCCCCCCTTTCTTTTCTCTTCCTGTCTCTTTGCTCCATGCTGTCTTTTACTTTACTCTAATTTCCACCATGTGAAATCGGAGTGAGCAGAGGCAGATAAAACCTGAGCTAGCGGAGGCAGGGGAGAGAGGTAGGGGATGATGGAGGGATGCTGATGGAGGCTACCTTCCAGAGGTCTGGATAGACCAACAGATACCGGGGTCACATTGAGGAGAAAGATGATATGAATCCTGCTGTGCCGTTTTCTTCCACTTTCTTGCTCACTCCAGCTCCTTCTTCCTCCCTCTGTTTCTCATCCTTTTTTTGTGTGCAGGAGAT